ACATATCGAGCTACTACATCGTACGCTTGTCGTTCAGTATTGGCCTCAGAGATCGGGGCCGAAGAGCTGGCTTGAAATCGGAGTCAAGAGTGGTCACCGCGGTGGTAGTTCTAGCGACCCGAAGCCTGGGATATCTCATCTCGGCTTCCGATGGATGCGCGACGGCCAGCAGGTCAGCAGCGATGCCATTAGGTTCAACCCTGATGATCTATCTATGGAGCTTATACTAAGAAGCGTCATCGCATTGCACGCGTCACATCTTCTCTCTACCGCATTTACCACCCTTAAAAAGCATGTTCTTTTCTCGAATCACACACTATCAATACAGGCTCAACTATCACCAACAGAACCTGGAGATTGTCTCCTTGATGTGCAACTCACAGCCTCGCGTTCTATTCGGGTTTCCATTGAACCCATGTCAGGGTCCATTACCCTATGGGGGACACCACATGTGCTTGAACGTCCCGACGGTGATCGGGGGCTCTATAAATCATCGATAGAGGAAATTTTATCTCGTGTCGCCCGCCTGCGATGTATCAATGCGGTTGATGAGATTGAGTTCGGCACAAAGGCACTCGGTCTCGAACCTGTGAATCAACGAGTACTTGGGCTTGATCCCCGCAAGCTCTTCCCTCCTGGTGTAATGCGGACCGCTTTCTTCACCCATCGGCTTTGGAACCGGCACTGGGTCGCTGCAGCAACCAGTAGCATGGATGGTGACCACTGGTGGCTTGTTGAGCTTCGGCCAACCGAGGCAGCGAAAACGGTATCATCGTATAGTATTGGCGACCATTGCATGGGGGTTCCGCAGGCTCATGTGGTCAGTGAAACTCTCGTTCCTCCGCAAAGACGACTCGACTACACAACGTGTGCCGAGCTGGTCCATGGGCTCACTGGAATCCTGGCTATCCACGCCAATGCGCGTTATCTGGCAGACTTGCCAACCATGCACTTCTGGCCATCATTGAAAGAATTGCACCTAGGAACGGATTTCACAGTCTCGGATCTCTTATTCAACTATAGTTCGACTGCACTTCCACCTGCTTTCCGGGTCGCCTTGCCTTTTGGGATAAAGAAGCAGTCGCAATTCAAAGAAATGATTCGACTGGTTTTCCATGGAATAGACAGCCAGAGTCGCTCTGTCATAATGATGGCTCACGGCGCTTTGAAAACCCGCGTCAAATCCTTGGTCCCACTCGTCTCAAATATGGATTCTTCGTTGATCATTGAAGATAAGGGTGCTGGCTTCGCACTTCGTTTGCTTGTGCCAGCCGGACATTCTGTTGTCGCTTGTCTTTTTGAACTCTTACAGCGACTGGAGGGTGTTCTCTCCATTCTCCAGTCCCTCATCTGGAAGGGAATGGAGCCTAAATCTCTGTCGTTGTCGCGAATTGATTTTGCGTACGGGCCCGAGAACAAATTTTCTGCTTTCTTTGATATCAGCGCCGAAGGGCCTTCTTTGTCCGACTACGTTGACATTGCAGATGCTGTTTCGAAGACCAAGCCTCTTTTTCAACTGAAACTGGGCATCAAATTCAAAAGCTCCAGCCCTCATCGCCGAATTCAAGAGCCCTTAACTGTGGCTTTGAACCAGCGGTTCACTGAAGCTGGTGTTGAGTCAACCCTCCAGCTCTTAGCTACCACACTTCCTCTGCTGCGGTCATTAGATCAAATCACTGCTCAATCGAATCAGACGGATCTGTCAATTGTACAAATCATCGCGCGCAAATCGACTGTATACCTAATTCACTATCCTCAGCTGAAGTCTCGTTTCCACTTGAGTGCAGTGATGCACCAGGACCGCTTGGTCTGGATGTTAAGGGATGCCAACGGAATGGATCAGTCTGGTCGGGGCCAGATCGCAGCTTTTATACAAGAGAAACTCTACCAGTCAAAAGGCGATGGCTGGAATGGCCTTGGAGATGGAGCGGTAGCGAGCATCAACAAGGTTGGGAACCTCATACTCGAGCTGCACGAGTGCCTTAATGCTCCCCATCTTCAGCTCGACAGAGAGGTGGAAGCCAAACCCGAGCAAATCCCGAACCAATTGCACATCAAAGGCTCGACATCTGTCGCTCCACAAGCCATGGGAAATACCGATGTCATTACCATTGATTAAGCATTTTGATTATCCATTCATGATTTCCATCCCCGTCATCTCCAGGGCCTCGGCGTAGCTCAATACTTTCTAATAAGCCTTTTCCGTTTGAATGCAAGAGCAACTACAATGTTCTCTTCGTGATGTATTCCTAGGTCTCGATATGACATAGCATCCAACTTTTATTTTTGTTCATGCTGCGTGAAATTAATTCAAATCCTTCCTACAACCAAGTTAACAGCGCTCTTCCCTGATCTTCCCTCGATTGCGTAACACATCGTACTCGATCCATCTGGCCATGGGAGCACCACCATCTGGTAGCAAGCGCCCGGGATTCATGACGTGACAGCCCTCATAGGTCATGCAAAACGATGCGGTCTCGGGGTCTGCAAGTACCAATGCGGTTGGCAGAGGGTACAACTGCAGGGCTGAGGCATGGTCCCATAGGACGGGCCGCAGTGGTAGCGGAAATGGGGAGATTGTCCCTTGGTCCAGGATGGTCTTGACGAGTCTTCGGGCCATTGACGCTCCAGACGAGGCGGTTTCAGCCTTGGTGCCCTGTTGCTGGCCCATGTCTTCGATCTGGCTTTTACCCGCAGCCAAGACAGCATCACCAGCACCACTGCTCGAGAGTTCCTGCATTTCAACATCTGATTCGGTGTCAAGGGTGGTGTTGACAGCGCTGCGTCTCAGTCTTCCCGAGATATCATCTCGAAAGATGGCGATGTCATGCACAGGCCCGAACCACGAAAGACGTGCCGGATTTGAAGTCCAAATTGCATCACCCGCCGGTGTAGGGTTTTGTGACCTGTTCAGCTCTGAGTTCGCTGTCGCAAATGCACGTCTGACTCGAGAGGTGAACAATTCCGGAATGGGTTGTCGTGGTACTGTTGAGGCTGCACCAGCAGAGAATGCCGATGCCCAAGGATCATTGTCGCCTGGCACAAAGACAAAGGTCGAGTGTTGTAGCAACGCTGGGAAATCAGATAAAACCAGCGCCAATGAGTCGAAGTATTCCTTGTATTCGATGCTCCCGGCTCGGCCACCTCCACTGATGATGGCTTTTTGTGCGAAATTTCCGATTAATAAAAAGGCTAGTGGACGTTCATGAAGAGACAGATCATTGTAGGTGTTGAAGACCTTTTTCAGGGCGTCAAGTGTCTTCATGTTGTCTAGATTGACTTCACTCATGATGGCGACTTTGAGCCTAATGGTTTCCGGTGCTTCCTGGTCTCCTCGTAGGCATTTTTCCTGGATTCTTCTCATTCGTGCACCCTGGGCACGTTCACTTCCCAATCCGAGGAAGTCAACCCACCCAAATCCACCACTAGAGCTCAGCTGTCCGCTGCCGTGGAGGTTGCTTGTTCCTAGTGAGATATCACGTCGCTCACAAGGGGGTCCACAGATTGATATACCGACAAACTGACCTCCGATTGCGCCCCCGATTCCTGTGTTCCCTCCCAATGCAGCACCTTTAACCATTTCTTCCTCTTCATAGATTCCATCGACAAGTACAATCATGCCTGGCGCAAACCACGCGCCATCTTCGGGTATCATTCGGGCATGGCTCAAGTCCAATGCTACACTTCCAGTCAAGTCCACCAAGGACAAGTCTCCAGTAGGAGAAATTCCAAGCAGCCCTAATAGTAGGTGCGAGGTTCCAGTTCTGCCCAGCAAATTTGCGATCGGTGTCATTTTATAGGATTGTCGGTGGGCGAGATTGGATGATGAACGTCGCAGTGAAGGAACACCAGCGACACCCAATGAGCTCTGAAAAGATTCATTCCGGAGTAGTCGCTGATATACAAGATTATATCGATCTCGGAATAGTGCAGTTTTGCAAGATGGTGATGGAAACAAGGATGGCCTTGACCTTATGACTTCGAAGTATTTCTTGTCGACGTTATATGTCAAGCGCGGAAGATCAAACGCGTCAATCACCTTGAGCCAATTCCTTGGATGAAGTGGCAGCTGTGCGTCGTCTTCCTGGGCAGTCCCTTGTTTAGAGGTATTGCCTGCTGTTTCAACTCGCCCGTCATCTACACCCAGGGTGGATGCCTTCAAGGAACCATCTTGGGATGTCGTTTTCCCAACAATAATCCTCCCGCCACTCATACTGCCCTCGAGGGTTTGCAGTATTATCTTTAGGGACGCTCCCTTCCCTTCATCGACAATCACGCCTCCACCGGCTCTTTTCCACATCTTAGCAACCTCATCTAGGACTCGCTCTGCTAGGCCTTCCTCGCGCCATCCCGAGCCACAGTTCTTGCCCACAAACACTGCTAGTGTTTGAAGTGCAGAGGATGATATTGTGAGGTTGTGTTTGCGGGTGAAAGTTCGAAAAGCAACTGGACGTAAGGTTGATGGAGGGAGCAGGATTGGTAAGATTGAAGTTTTGGGAGGCGCATTTCCCTTGGGTATTCGAAATGGACGTGCTGGTGTCCCAAATGCAGGCGAGGATGAAGGAATAGGGTCCCCTGTCGCCATTCTGAAGCGATCAGGATGTCGCGGTGTTGAGGCGTCCATATTATCAAGATTTCAAGAAACGCGACAAAGACTTAGACTTTTGGGATCAGTACAGAAGTTAAAGGGATTATCAATTCAGAATAAAATGTCTCTTGTGGAAATTCCGAGTAGATGCATAATAAGAGGAAAGGAGGGGACAGAGAGAAAAGAAGAAGAAGAGAGAGAGAGAGAGATCCAGAATTCAATCAAATCGAAGACGCGTGACACGCGCACCGGGGCTTTGGCTTCTTCTTTTTCTCTCTTCCTCCTCTCTCTCTTTTCACTTCATTCGGCTCCCTTTCTTTAGTCTTATTTTTAATTCTTAAGAAGGCTATCCCATTCTTTTTCAATTTGATTCTTCCTCCTTTCACCACTCTTCATCAAAATCACATTCACCATGGCTGGTCCACTAGATGTTCAATCTGCCGTTTCGGAGCAAGAGAAACGAACCCAACTCGAGGACCTGATTGCACGTGCTGCTGCAAAGGATGCGACCAAAGACTACGACTCTGCCTCCGAGATGTACTCCCAAGCTACCGAACTTCAGGCCGAACTCAATGGCGAGTTGTCCCCGGAGAATGCGGATTTACTCTATGCCTATGGAAAGTCACTGTACAACGTGGCTGTAAGTAAAAGCGATGTCCTTGGCTCCAAGGTAGCCGGCGAGCAGAAACCGCAATCCGGCACTACATCTTCAACAAATACATATTCTGCTGGGTCGAAATCCGCCAGTGATTCTCTTGTTCAAGACGCGATCGCCCATTCTATGGCGGATAAGTCATCTTCCACGAAGCGTGCAGACAGAGAACCAGAGCCCACAGAATCCAAGCCATTCTTCCAATTTACAGGAGATGAAAACTTTGTTGAGTCCGAGGACGAGGATGAGGAGGTTGCTGAGGATGATGAAGAAGACGACGATTTCGCCAATGCCTTTGAGGTCCTGGATCTCGCCCGTGTTTTGTACCTTAAGAAGCTGAGTGCTGCAGAGGAAAACGACGGAGGCAAAGGAAAATCGGCTGTGGTGTCCTCGGATGTCAAGCACATTAAAGAAAGAATTGCAGACACACACGATCTTCAAGCAGAAATTTCACTGGAAGCAGAAAGATTTAGTGAAGCAGTTACTGACTTGAGAACTGTTCTCGAATTGAGAAACTCGCTATATCCTCCAGAAGATCCCTCTGTTGCTGAGTGCCATTACAAGCTCTCCCTCGCCCTAGAATTCGCCTCGGCCCAACAAGGTGGTGAGGAGGATGGAAATAACAAACCCAAGGTTGATGAAGAGATGAGGAAAGAAGCTGCTATCCAGATGGAATATGCCATTACCAGCTGCAGGGTCCGAATGGCCCAGGAGGAGCAGAAACTCGAGGCCGAAAAAGATGAGGATGAAGACAAGGCAACTACAACAAGACGAAAGATCGCCAATGTCAAAGAGATTGTGATTGACATGGAGCAAAGGGTAAGTGTTTTCTCCCTTGCCAGTCCTTTCCATAGATTGATCGATTTTATTGATACTGATACTGAAATAAATCAGCTTGTTGACCTGCGCCGACCACCTGTCTCAGCTCAGCAGAACGACCAAGCCAACGAGGTTATGCTAAAGGGATTTCTGGGTCAGATTATCGGTCAGTCCGCAACAGACCAGAAAGCTCAGCTTGAAGCAGTTAGCCAGGGAGCAACAGACCTGTCTGCTTTTGTCAAACGTAAGCCTGCAAAGTCATCCCAGCAACTTGAAACTGCCTCAAAAAGACCTGCCGAGGGACCTGCGGAGAACAGCTCCAAGCGGTCTCGCGTTGACGATGCTTCCTCGTAAACGAGGTGGTATTGTGTCCTCTGACTGCATTATAACTCTCTTTCTTTCTATTTTTATGCACTCTAGAACCCTTGTAAATTACTAGGGTGTTAATGAATTCAATCTCGTGCGAAATGCCGATCTTCCCAAAAAGATTATTAAAAGACCGCGAGCTCTTGTTGGCTGATATGATAGTTAATATGCATGTGATCGGAAAGAAAAGACAATAGAAAAAAACAAGACAACAAGGTTGTCAAAAAGGGTATCATATCACGTTGTGTAATGACCTCATTCCACAAGGTCCATCCCCAGGATTTCCTGCAGCTTATGAGATTCCCCACATCGCAGTACGACGTTTGATGTCACGATTTCTTCGACGTGCAGCAAGTCCAGGGCTCCAGATTCCAGCGAACAAGTCCTCACACTCATCTTCGTCCTGGCTGTCAAACTCAGTATCTGCTGGGCCAGATTTGATTTCATTTTGGAGATCGGCTTGCATAGTCTGATCCACACCGGAGGGGGATTCCCAGCATGAAGAGGCGGCAATTTTCTTGGTTTCCAGAATGAACTTGCCAACCTTGTACCGCTGCGACTCTTCTTCAGCAGCAACATACTTCCAGCCTAGGACACTGTAACAGAATGTGCAGCTAACATCACTGACCGTATGTACCCCTGTAACAAGCTGGCGAGGAACTGGGCGCTGCAATATTGTATTGGGGAGTGAGGCTGTATGTGAAGACGACGCGCTGACCGACACAGCAGTGGCCACTGGCTCCGCCGACACAAGATAGGCACGGCCGTGGCGACCTGTAAACCCTTTGCTAATAATTTGAGAGGTCAAGCAAAGATGCGAGGCACAGCCTGCACAGCACAGATAGGAAACATGGCCGTCGAGATACTTCTCGGTCTTCGTGTTTTGCGGTCTATGGTCTGTTGAAGAGGGCCCCGCACTGTGTATGGTGGAAGAAACAGAAGGAAGTAGAAATTTGGGGAAATGGAAAGTTTTGACGCGCTCCTTAGACATTCTGGGGGATGTTTAAAAAGGAGGCTTACTCTGAGAGGACCATAGAGGGCTTCCCAAGGTTGGAAGGGATGCAAGCCCAGCTGATTGAAGGTAAAGGTGATTGCAAGTGAGGTCATCTATGACCCATCTCTTATCTTATCTGTGCAGCTTTTTTGTCCGCGAAAGCGGGGGAAAGTGACATTCTCATCAGAACACTTAAAACAAGTGATACTGTAATACTATGCAACTGTGCAACAAAATACGCATTTAAAATATTTGAATGTAAACGGTCGAGCAAAAGTCGATATTTTGAATGAAAGGAAAATTCCTCTTGCGCAACAACTCAAGCATCAAGACATTAACAATATCCTTGACTACAATCTAAACAGTGTAGACGGATCATGCAATTGAGTTTTCAATGATGTTGTCGCTAGACTTCAGCGACCAAAAAAAGCCATTTAGTACTGAAATATGGCCCTTGGTTACCGCGTGAGACCCAAGGTGCCAAGGTGGTGAGGCTGAATCCACACCATCCTAGACTTCGCACGAGCTCCATCTCATCTGAGGGTTGAGAGCGACTGACACAAGCAACTATTTGCGAGCACCCAAAGGTGGCAATATCGGCAAGTTCAAACAGAGCAAGCAAGCTGAGGCGGGCGACGGTCAGCAGGTGCATCCAAGACACATGGAGGCCTGTCACTAAACTAAAGGGGAAAGCCTTGGCATGTCCAAAGAAACACAAGAAGCATACATACCCTGACTTCAGGCCGTGTTCAACTGCACGGTCCTCAAAGAAGACAAACAATGTCCGCTCCTTATTGTGTTCGGCCACAAATCCGCGGTAGATAGCATCACTAGAGTAGTCCCACACTTCTGTCCATCGCTTGATTCGATCATTCCGGTGCCCGATTTGGTTTGACTGGATATTTTGGAACGCATCCATCCCCAGTGACTCCTGTCCCGCGGAATTCCTCTCACCCAGGAATGTCGCAGACAGTCTGTCACAGAAGAGCCTCTCACACTCTTCCGGGATGTTATGCGTTGCCTCCCCTTTGTACTCTGGCCTAATTCCAGGCCAGGTTCGTTCCGCGCGGGAATCGATCATGTCGTAGGGAGGACTTGAAATAGATGATTTAGTCCCCGAAGGGACCTCAGGGATACCACTGTACCCCTACGTTCAAAAGTTAGATCTCTAGCAGCATGGACGCAATTTGGGGTTACAAAAATACTTACCGGCGCCCGGGGTAGTGCAGTAGTGGAAGCCGTGGACCTTGGAGGTCGACGGTTCAACACTGTAGCAAGTAGCAAGAACAGTGCTCTGGGAGTCTTTGTCGAGGAACTCCTGCATTTGATTGCAATTACTACTGTGGTTATTCATATATTTCGCCATGATATTCGATCTTTCGGGCAATTGTTCTGGGAGGGATTTGATGAACGGTGTAGGTCAAGATATCGAACTAGGTCGAAATTTGATTATAGAAGTAGGTTTAGAAGACACGATGAAGTCGGTTGGTGTTTTGATGAGGAAGAATTCGAGTGGTCTAATTGACGTTGAACGGGGAATTGGACGGTGGTGCGGATGTGGAAGTGAAGATGGTGTCAATGGGGGGCGTTTTTTCCCAGGTCACATGACCCTGTCTCTCGATAGCTGGGACCTGGAATTATTTTTTTTTTAGTTTTACCAAATCCTCTCTTTTCTTCGTTTACTTGAGGATTACTACTGTTTAAATTTATTTCCTTTTCGGGTCTTTTACAAGATGTTTAGCAGTTGTTCAATTCTATCAGGAGGGTGCGACCAAAGCCAAGCTACAAAGTAGTAGAAGCATTAATTCTCAAGTCCTACCAAGCCCTAGGGAGCTGTTAAGAAGTGGGAAATCATGAGTAGCTATATTATTCTTATTGCGGCTATGGTAGTAGTACACATTCTGAAGGTAAAAAAAGAAACTCCTCAGGATGAGATGAGAGAGTGAGGAAAAGACACAAAACGGAAGAAGAAGAAAAGGCCGCTATAAATAACATGCGTTATACACAGTGTACTGGGAAAACCATGAAGCAAATCCACATGAGCCATAGCCAACGCTTATCTATTCAAAGCTCCCTGTAATCACTAGGCCGAACTCGTCGGTTTCTAGCCTGATGGCGTTGGGGATTCACGGGTTGACGGAAATACGGCGAATCTTCTTCACGGGAGTATGGTGTGCTGAAAGCTGTTCGCTGCTGATTTGAGAAGTTGCTCATCCCCGAGCTTGGTCCCTGGAAACCGTTCTGGGGCAAGGGGAACATCATTGAAGGGTCTCCATTGAACATGTTGGGGAATCCGTTGGGCATGCTACCATTTCTTGGATCGAACATTCCGGCTTGAAGAGGATTGAAGGGCATGTTCATGAGATTCCATCCTGGGCCCATGCCACTGGGAAAGCCATTGGCAGACGCCATCGCCATGGGGTTCATAAACCCCATAGCTTCATTACCGAATCCAGAAGCCGAGAAAGGCATCATAGGCATGCCTTGCATTGGTCCAAAGTTGTTGAAGGGCATATCCTGATTATTAAAATTTGCTGGGGGAACACAAGGGGCACCGTCTTGGACGTTACTAGCCTGGGTCAGACCGTCAAAATGGCCGTCATCTGCTTTCTGTTTCTTTGACACGTTACCCAGCTCGGAGTTTGCAGTTTCACTCCGGCTGGTAGACTCGTCCTCGGCAGATCTCTTCTTGGATTGTGTGAGCGCGGTCTCTTGAATTTGATTGGGCGGGCTCTGCTCTTTCTTAGCGGACGACTCCTTAAGCTCAGTCTCGGAGACTTCAGGGACAGGAGCACCATCCGGGCTGACAGAGATCTTTTCCTTCTCTTTCTTGGCTTCAGCCTTGTCAGCTTCAAATTCCTTAATTTTTGATGCGGATTCATCATCGGGAGTGAGGTTATCAAGTAAAACCCCTTCCGTAGAGCATCCCGGACAAACAAAGTCACTTTCAATCAAGGCATTTGAAATACAATCATTGCAATATGTCCTCTGGCAACATGGTGTCTTTGTTGGTTCTAAAAACATCCTCTTGTCAATCGGGCACTCCAGACCTCGAGCTTGCAATGCTTTGCTCTCCTCGGCAGCTGCTGCTTCGGCTGCAGCTGCCGCCGATGCCTTCGCCTTTTCTTGGTATAGTTCCCAGGCTGCCTTGTCTGGCTTTGCAATGACAAAGTCGCCATCAGCATTCACCATGACCCCTGTATTCCTTGAATCTTCAGTGGAGCCATCCGGGGCCAGGGATTCTGGTTTGTCGACTTTGGTTTGAAGTGAACGTGGTATGCCAGTTGATCGCTTGACTCGATATTTGCCGTCGAACTTGGGGTCGTTATTCGTAGGGCATGCTTGTATCCAGTGGCCTATGTATTAAGGTTAGCGGTCAATGAGTGCGGCAACTTGGCGAGAGGCGCATACCTTTTTCCCGGCAACGATAGCAAAGATACCCTGGAGGCGGAGGGTGGTCGGGTACATTGACGGGTTTCCCTCTGCCACGACCAAACGGTACCGGTGTTGCGCTAGAATTAAATCAATACCTCCAACAGAATCAGAAATTACGGTTGACGTGTCTCTTACTTTGCCATTTCTTGTTGTTGCTCCTGCCATTGGCTAGCCTGCAGGTTGAACAAAGCGTTGATCTTCTCTTCTTCTGTTTGGGCATTATTGAGTTCAAGGACGTTGTTGTTCACAGATTGTCCCGTTCCGGGTGTTATTCGGCTCATCGAGGGTTCGTTGCGAGGGGCACTGCGAGCATTGACTGGCATCTTGCCCGAGACATAACGAGCAGCACCACCCTTGCCAGGGCGAGCTGCGGGCAATCGGCGGGCAATCACGGAAGTCGACCGAGGGATTATGGTGGTGTCATCGTCGTATTCTGTTGGATGTCAGAAGGGTCCCTGTTTATCAGGAGCAAATGTATCGTATTGGAACAGAGCAACATACCCTCTCTGGTGTCCTCATTGTAGATCGATAGCTCAAAATCACTCCCATCGCCCAATCTACTTTGGCTGATAATCTCTCTTTTGAGCTCAAAGACCGAAATACCAGTGCCATCGAAGGTGACCCTTGAGGGTTCTTTCTGGGACTTGAATTTGAAATGAACGGAGGATGACATTGTATTCAATTTGGGAGGGGAGTGATGCAACAAAAATGGCTGTGGGTGTATTAAGACCCAGATTTAGGCGCGCCGCGGTGTACAGTGAGCAGTAGGGGATAATAGAGATGAAAGAAAAACTCGCGAGATGAAGTGAAACTGGTGTATAACCAGTCACAACAAAGATTTGGTAGGGAAGCAGATATAATCTGTTCAAATCACAGAGAAAGCACGAGATAGTTTTTTTTTAAAAAAAAAGAAAGCAGGGATCAATGGACCACTGAGACAATGGAATGTGTGAATGATTCTTTTTGAATGCTGAATGGTGAGTGTTCAGGTCACTGCATACAAATGGAGATCAAAGAATTGATGAATACGATGATCAAACGAACACTGGCGCTGAATTAAAAAGGTGTATTCAAGAGAGATTTGATGGTCTGCCCCGTCCTTCAAAGTGATTCGTAGAGCCACCCTAGCACCCTGACCTGTGTGATCGGACCTGTCTAGAGATCCTTGTAGGCACCAAATCCAAGTTATAGAGAGACAGACCTGTTAGGAATGAGAAATTTCACTGTCACACAAAGACAACCGAGGTCTCGCAGTAATTAGGTAATGAGACTTGGTGATCACGGCAAGACAGAGTGTCAATAAAGAGTGAAGTAGAGGACCAAAATTAACCGCAAGCGAAAAATTGGGAGAAACGATGGCTGCACAAGGATGGTGAGGTTGGAAATTGTTTGTAGCACCGCAGGTATTAACTGGGGAGATGAGAGAGTGAAGTGGCGAGTGAGGAAAAGTCAGATGATTTGAGCCTGCTTCCACCGCTTTTCAGACCGCTTTGGGTCAGTGACGCTGGATCCTAACACGTGACCTTCTTAGCCCCACAACTGTCATTTGCATGGCATTCAAATGAATATGTATCTTAATTGTTCAATCATCATTCCCTCGCTGCTTTATGTTCTCCAAAGGACCGAGGCTTATCAAACTACCCATGGCATAGACTCCAACATTCTCTATTAAATTGGGGTTTTTTTTGTGGTTCCTTTGAACGATACAGCATCTTGGTTGGTGGGCTCGGCCCTCGTGATCTCTATTCTCTTTTCTCGTGTTAAAACAAAAAAAGCATAGTTGCAAAAGGTGCCCATGTGGAAAGATCTTACCTTAGATGCAGCCGAGTCTTTAGATCTCAACTTCAAATTGGCGAACCAGGAATCCCTCGGTTCGAAGGTGATCTTTCACTTGAGTCACGGTAAATTCACCGCGGTGGAACTGGGACAAGGTCAGAGATTCTGTTGTGAGAAAAAGATTGTTTGAAATATTGTAAACTTACCATTCCTGCTCCTAATGCTGCATCAGTGGTAGTTTTCTTGAAGACCTCTGAAAAGTGTGCAGGTACGCCAGCCCCACTTGAAGCGATGACTGGAATTTTAATCGAAGCTTTGACATCTTTGATTAATTCCAGATCAAATCCACTGTTGCTTCCATCTTTATCGATGCAATTCAGAAGAATTTCACCAGCACCCATTGCCTCAACGGCCTGCACAAGTTGCCGCACATCGATATCGCGAGTCTCTCTGCCACCTTTGACAGTGCACTGGTACCAGCAGAAGGTTTGCCCATTTGAGTTGGGGAACTGTGTCTTAATTGTGTGGTGGTGGGTATCCTCTGGCTTATTAACATATACCCGCTTGGGGTCGACGCTCACCACAACAGCCTGCTTTCCATAGGCCTTTGATATCGTCTCGATTGCGGTTTGGCCACTCAACTTCTTACCAGCGTGATAATAGTCCTCGGCGGCAAAGACAGAATCGGAGCCTACGCTGACTTTATCGGCTCCAGATTTGAAATACATCGTTGCCACATCCAGAGCAGGGACCCTGGTGCCATCAGTGTCGACGGTGTCTTTGATTCCTCCACCAATGGTCAAAGGCACGAAGACCGTCTCCGATGTTCGTCGCAGGATTTCAAGCATGGGCGTGTCAGCAATGGGGCAGTTTCGGAAGGAGGTGATGTTCAAAAAGGTCACTTCATCTGCTCCTTGCTCGTAATACTTCTTAGCCATATCAACAGGCTTGCCGAGGTTGCGAACGCTGCCGCCGGCGTCTGTTCCACTCTTCTCTCGGACATCATATTGGTCCCCTTTGGTGACAACCAAGTCACCAGAGTCATTTGTCCGAACATCAAGACAAGCAATAACGCGACGAGTGAGCCCATTTTCTTTTCCAGTGGCCAGGTCCTGTGAGAGCGACTGGAATTGATCGCCGTTCAAGAATGCGCGGATGGCCCGTAGCCCAGCCACGCCACTCTTCTCCGGGTGAAATTGGGCGCCAAAGATGTTGCCCCGGCTGATAGCACCGATGAACTCTTCTTCGCCATATTTCGCTGTAGCCACAGACCAGCCGTCACTTTCCAATACACCCGGGTTGTATGGGGCCGCATAGGAGTGGACGTAATAATACTTGCTGGTCGGCCTCAGACCATAAAAGCTTTCGTGTTTTGTGACATCGGATCCAGTGTTAATTGCAGAGTTCCATCCAATGTGCGGTACACTCTTGGACGTGTCGTCGAATTTTTTAATGCGCATAGGAATTACGCCAAGCCCTGGAACGTCGTTATCCTCCTCTGAGCCCTGAAAAAGAGCTTGCAAACCAACACAGATCCCCATGAAAGGCTTTCCCGCTTCAATGTGCTGTCGGATGGGCTCCAAAAATCCTCCTTTGTCCAATTGGGAAAGACAATGGCCAAAATGGCCAACGCCAGGGAGTATGAGTTTCTAGAATTCTATTAGCAACGACACGGCACGATCGTGAACCAACCATGGTGGAATTGGTTCGGGCATTTGACTAACATCAGCATTCTTCACATCCTCTGGGGATTTAACCCATTCGACATCAAATCCGACTTGGTTAATAGCATTAACCAATGAACGGATGTTTCCCGCGACATAGTCTAACAAGTGAACGGTAGGCATGGCTGTAGGGGCTTGGGCCAATATCACAACAGTGATCGCAGCTGGTGGCGTGCAAGGTATTAGACCGTTGAGGTTGAGCTAACAACACAGTGAAGAAACTAGCTATAAAAGACCGTCGGGGGTTCTCGAGGACCCCGCCAAAATTCTCACGCTGAGTCATACTTTCTTTTTCTTTTCTGCCAGGCAAAATGCGGAGAAAAAAGGTACTTTGGGGTATCTTTCCAAGACGTATGGTTACTAAAATAATCCAAGTTCTTTTTGTAATTATGTGTACCTGTGAGTCATACGTAGAATATGCATACTACACAGCCCTGGGATATTTGGCTTCAATTAAGGACCTCTTTCAGTGAAATTTTATCTGGACTACTTGCGTTACTTTGTACAACAACTTTGACATAGCCCTAGAGGGTGGTGCATAATTCTCTTCACTAAAAATTGGGTTGCCCCGCGCTTTGACTATTATATTGTAGGTTATTGGTTTTCGGTTGTGTGCCTATCGGGTGCATGGAGGTAGATGAGGCCGTTTGTAGGCTGTAGGCTTATGGTCAGTTGTGTTTTAAAGAGGGGAGGATGTAAGAAGATTGGCTACCGGGTGGAATTGACGTAGCCGTACGCCTGCTTCTTCCAAGATAGCTGCACTCTGTACACTCAGATTAGATTAATTTACTTAATGAAAACCCTTGAAATGGACAAACGTTGACTTACGTCGTTATCCATGTTGTACCCTTGAGAGTAAACAACCTCCGAGATTCCAACTTGGGCTATCTTGACAGTGCATGTCAAGCAAGGGCATCTACAATCCATAGTAAGATTTGTTGGTCTTTGGTACAGTTCAGTGAAGAATGAAGTAGACTTACGTGTCACAATAGAGGATCGCCCCCTCTCGAATTCGCTCTCGGCCTGCTTCCAGTAATGCGTTTTCTTCGGCGTGAAGGCAAAGACAGGTTGAGAGACCAACTCCTCCTCCATCCCCGCGATTGCACCGTGGACCTGTAATGATTTAAAGTGAGTCAAATGAACAGTAGGGCGATTGGGGTTATTCAGTTCTGGCCTGTATCGTACATCCACCTTGGTTGCAGTTCTGAAGATGCCGTGGTGTCCCATTATATCCTGTGCTGATGACACGACTCTCTCGAACAAGCACACATCCCACTCTTCTTTTCATGCAGTTGCTTCTTTGAGCGGCAAGAGATGCCAGCTGCATGAAATACTGGTCCCAATTTGGCCTCAACCGCTGTTCGTCTGCCAGGTCGAGGGTTTTCAGAGCCGAGTGTAGCTCTTCGAGAGACGATGAGGAGTTGAATAGGCGCAATTGGGCCTTGTCAATCAAGTATACACGTCCAAAATCCTTATCGTAAAGATTGTGGTCGTTCCACATTACGAACTTTTCGAGCTCAGGTGGATCGAGTTGTCTTCTCCAACACCTTTTTTTAAAAAACAGTCAGCTCTCGGACTTCAGTCACATGTATCATCACGAACCTGTCGGCAAATCGTTTCCATCGGAGGCTAACTGGCGCATCGACACTCACGAGGAGGAAGAAGGGACGCAATAGGAATCGATCTAGGGTAGTTGTATCTGCAATGTCTGTGGTAACCCAGCGTTCTTGCCATCTTTTTGTCGCAAAGTCGAGTAGAGAGTCGGCATCTTGAAATGTAAGTTCTGACGACTTGGGGTCCTCTTTCTTTCTGATTTCCGACGCTTGCAGTCGCAGGTCATCTCCCAACTCGGTGATGTGTAATTGGGATTTGCCAGCGAGTTCAAGAAGTTGAAACCCTTGCTGAATCAGATACTCAGCAATCGCATGCTTGCCAGCGCAGATACCTTTGGACGTATATCCTCGTTAGTTCATACGGTGTGGGAGTGAGGGATTGATTTGCGACAATTGTCTGCTGACCTCCACATAAACCGATGAGCATTTTCAGGTGTTGAATGCTTGTAGAGTAGAAAAGAGGAAAAGAAAAGAAGCAGTGGGGCAGAGAACAGAGTGAGAATCGCGACGCGATCTTATCAGCCTGATCTTATCGACCTAACATGGAATGTTGGAATTTCAAGGTTGGGATGAAGAAATAGAATGTACCATATATCTTAAAGTATTCCGTAAGTTTCTTAATTAGTGTATGGAGTATACATACCCCATAGGAAAATATGTATGTGTAGATTGTGTGATTAGCACAAGTCAGCTGGTAATCTCATGAGACAAGGGTGACTATAGCCTGATGATCCAAGAGTTACCTATGCACCCGGGTTAATACACACATATTTAAATCTATATAAGTATGTTCATGGCAAAGAGATCTTATGAAGGGTTTAAGATTCCAAAAAAAGATCTCGCAGAGCTTGTAAGAAATTAAAGAACGCATGGAGATTATCGATAAGCCCCTCTCTCGTGACATCAGACCCTTTCACCTCCCCTTCCAACCACCCAAGTCTGTATCATTCACTGTCTCCTCTTCTCATTCTCTCCCCCATTCCTCTAAGATGCAGTACACACCGTTTGCTTCCGACATCGAATTACCTTTCTATACTTCCCTGGCTTCCCATAAGATCAATCATGACAAGTTAGATGACTCCGCCCGGCCCGTTCTAGGCTTATATGAGATCCGTCCTTCTGATCCTGAGGCTGCATCATGTCGAGTCCAAATTCATGGAAATGCGCTCACCTGTAGCGAGTGAGATGAAATGAACTGTTTCTAGAAGCCCTGCTAACAGCAACCCAGGGCCCCAGCTGGTTTTTACAGAGCAGAGGGCATGATAAAGAATGTCAATACTGTTGAGGAATATCGAAACATGGACAGATCCCAGCTGCTCCATCAAACTGGACAGATGGTAAGAATAACAACCAGTTTCCTTGGTGAAAGAGAGGAAGATATACATACATACTAATGAAATCATTAAGATATGGGATGCCATCCACGATGGAACAATACTTTCTTGCCCCTCCTTGCTTTGCAGTTTTGTGATTGTATCTTTCGCAGACCTCAAAAAATTCAAGTTTCACTACTGGTTTGCTTTCCCAGCAATCCATTCAGATCCTCAGTGGGTCCCCGTGCGGCCAACAGATCAAGCATCCCAGCCACGCCCGGATCATGATATTGGCAACTTGAATGGAATACACTTATCTTCACATGAAAGCACTGCCTTAGTGGAAGCGGTACAAACGTGGTTATATATTGTGGATCATCGACAACGAGGTTTCTTTTTGGCTCGAAAAGCCAGACAGCATTCCGATTACGCATCCTTAGGCGATTACGAGACGAAGACTGCCGAAAAAGACGATGCATCTAATTACAACTGGCAGATAGCGTCACTTTCCGAATATGAAAATGGCTTTTTCAAAAATGTCGCTGCTGAAGACCGCTATTTCTGTTTCTCAGACCCATCAAATTATGAACAGGCTCCAGGGTGGATGTTGCGAAATCTGCTAGTTTTGATCAAGCAGCGATGGGGCATCGAACGGGTACAATTGATACGCTACCGTGACGTGCACGCGAAGCGTGACCAGGGGCGCAGTACAGTAATTCAGCTGGAGTCAAGTTCAAAACAAGAGGCCCAGACCCCAAGATCACTACAAAGCCAAGGGTCGTTGCCGCTGCCAAAGGTTACCGGCTGGGAACGTAACTCGACTGGGAAATTGGCCGGAAGAGTTGTCATTCTTACAGAGTACATGGATCCCAAGAGGTATGGCGCAAATTCGGATATTTCCAACCCGAAGACTCGATAAAGGAAGCTAACTGTTTTCTGAAGATTAGCGGATCAGTCGGTCGATCTTAACCTCAAACTTATCAAATGGCGGATCAGCCCGACGCTCGATCTTGAGAAAATTAAGCACACAACATGTCTCTTGCTAGGAGCTGGTACATTAGGTAGCTACGTCTCTCGGAATCTGCTGGTATGTAGACGCCAACTTTCGCGCTCAAAAAACCATTGTTCTAATTATTATGTCTGTAGGGCTGGGGCGTGAAAAAGATCACTTTCGTCGACAACGGAACCGTTTCTTTTTCAAATCCTGTTCGGCAGCCACTATTCAATTTTGAAGACTGCTTGAACGGCGGCGTCCGAAAAGCACACCGGGCATCAGAAGCCCTAAATCAAATTTACCCAGGAGTAAAAACGGCAGGTCATGCGCTCTCGGTGCCCATGGCAGGTCATGCTATTGTGGATGAAGGGGTGACAAGGGCTGATTTTGATCGCCTCAAAACACTTATTGACGAACACGATGCTGTATTCCTCCTTATGGATACCCGAGAATCACGATGGCTGCCCACAGTGATGGGGAAGGCGGCAGGGAAAATCGTGATGAATGCAGCCCTAGGGTTTGATTCCTTCGTGGTGATGCGACATGGTATTACTGAGGATGAAAATCCAGCAGAGCTTGGGTGCTATTTCTGTAACGATGTGGTAGCACCAGCTAATGTGAGAATATCCAAACGAGTGACCTGCTTTTTTACAGAACTGACTGCGAGGCAGTCTATCAAAGATCAAACTCTCGACCAGCAGTGTACAGTGACCCGCCCTGGGGTGGCTCCTATAGCCTCTGCACTTTTGGTGGAGCTTTTTGTGTCACTCCTCCAGCACCCCCAAGGCGCTGGCGCACCGGCCCCTGTGGCCCGCAATACCGAGCGTGATGACCATCCCTTGGGAAATGTGCCCCATCAAATACGAGGATTCCTCTCCAATTTCGAGAACATGTCTGTCACTGGAAAAAGTTATCCGAGCTGCAGCGCATGCTCGATTAAAGTTGTGAGTGCATACCGCGAGCAGGGTTGGGACTTTGTGCGAAGAGCCTTGAATGAACCTGGCTATGTTGAAGAATTGAGTGGACTAAAAGAGGTTAGTCGGTGCCTAAAAACAACTAAATCCCAAACTGACATGTAGGAAGGTTCATGAGAAGGCGGAAGCAGCACTAGCCGATATTGACTGGGACGAGACATCTGAAAATGAAGAGATTGAAATCCTTTAGACAAATAGCATGGTTTGGCTCTTCGGCTACCTTGTGATATGCCGGCATATAAGCCCGAGATAGCTTTGATCTCACGGTTTTCGCTCCAGGCCAACGAAAAATGCCTCCTTTGATTCCTGCCAATGGCTTTAGTCGGTGGGTGTATTTAGATTGGACAAGTCAGATCATACACTGCGAGATGACTCGGGTTTAAGACGGTGAACTTTTTTGAATAATTCCTTCAGCTGCTCCTCCAGTTCTTTGTCTTCGGCGCCTTGGTAGAATTTGCAGACAAAATGACCGCCCGCCTTCAAAACATCCGAACTAAAGCGCAAAGCCGCATGGCAAAGATCCTGCGCAAAGTCAGAATGGTTTCACACTTATCAATCAAGGAACAAGAATTCATACCATGCTTCCAGCATGATCTCTGAAAGTGACACCGCTGGTGTTCATCATCCTGTTATAAGGAGCACTTAGACTTCGTTTCCAGAAACCGGAGGTCTGGTGCCAGGGAGCAGACATATCACTGAGAACAACATCTACCGTTCTTTCAAGTATTTTATCGCCCCTCATGTCCATCTTCTCGGTCTCGGTGGTGCTTTCGATATCCGAATTCGGCTCCAACAGACTGGCACTGGAATCGTTCAGAAAGCCAGGTTGGCGCGGCCTGCCTCTGTCTGGACTGCGGAGAAAGTCTCGGATGTACGTTTGAATTTCGGGTGCGAGGAAATTGCCTTGAATTGTGGACACTCCTTTCGGTGGTTGGGCTGGGATGATATCGACGCCAAGGACTCGACCATGCGGTTGGGTACGGCTTGCAGCAACCTTCTCTGGCATTTAGTTACAGCCCGTTTGACAGGAAAAAAAGAAGGGATAAGTCAAAGGCAAAAGATAAATGGTCGACACACCTGAGACCATGACCCTGGAGCATAACCCTAATTGCAGCAAATTAAGCAATGATCGGAGTTCAGGTGGAACGACTAGCATACCAAGTCAACCACTGTCTGCCCAGCCTTGAATATTCGATATTTCTCATCGATCTAGCCATAGGCACCGGCATGTCAGATCAATCCAGCAAAATCTAGTAAAATCGATGCTGGATTACCTGCAATAATTTGAAAGCAGCACGGCTTTTCAGTCCTTGGACGGCTGCCTCTCTGGTGAACTGATCCTTTTGCTGCCGGGCTTGCCAGCGCTTGGATGATGCATGTCTTGATTGACCAATCGCCTGCTTATGACAGGCATTCCGCCAAAATCGAATTGAATGTAAAGTGAACATTGTGCGAATAGATCAATATCAGCGGAAATAACCGGAGCCTCGGGAGCATTGAGAAGCTTTTTTTATTTTCTGCCGGCAAAACAGATGGGACCGCCGAGCCCTCAAGTCGGACGGCTCTTGTCGCATCCATTTTGGCTAGGTAAACCCTATGAGGCTAAGTCGTGCGACAGCAGGTTTTTACCCACAACTCATGAGATTTTAATAACCATTTTCAAAAGTCTATTTCCACACCACTAAGTTGGTAAATACATGTTTATTTAATATAATTAGATAGAGAATTGGCCTATGAATTTCTATTTGGTTGAGGGGCTTGAGAGAGAGGGTATCCAGATGATCTACTATGAAGTTGTAGATGTACAACAGTCTACAACAGTCTACCCTATAAAGATTCACCACCTCCACAGTGGCGGTACTAGCGTATAAATTAGCATAGTATGGTATTTTACAAATTGATACTATATTATTCTTTTGAAACCCAGGGTTCTCAACCTTTCAACTCTCCATTTCTCTCACATACAACATACAACAATTTCTCATATACAATACCACTACTATATACAACACCTAGTATTTGTTACCAGCCAGTTCTTTAAACAAAAGAGTGCATTTCAACGAGAATACTAAGTACAGAGAAAGAAGAAGAAAGAAAGAAAGAAAGAAACCTGCGAGACAGGAACCTTTTATGGGGTCCTGTCACGATCCAACAATCAAACAATGCAAACCTCATCAAGACGGAAACTTCCGGCAGAAATCCTCCTAGATCGTCACAGTATTTAGTAGCACCCCCCTAAGCATCAATAACCGCCTAGCACCGAGCAGGCATACTCTCAATCAGCCCATTCAAGAAATCCTCCGGTACAGCATCCCAAGCATCACGAACAACCCCTCG